CTATTTGGCTAAATACGTATATGATCGCTTCCGTGAAAGAGATAGACGCGTTAAATATAACCTTGTTTAATAGTTGTATAAATTTTACAAATGTACACCTCTGTAATTATTGCACGAAAATCTTTGTTATCATTGTAAACACATGTGTCTGTAGGCGCTCTGTTGACAATAAAGCACTTATCCTATCCTATCCTATCCTATCCTATTTCTTCTTTTTTGCTTTTCTTAAATATTTAGTTTTGTAGTTCGTGGCGGATTTTTGTCGCCCCATTTTTTATTCAGTAGGTTAATCGGTTTACATATATCGATGTGTTGTGATTCTGTTGACTTTGATTTCATTAAACCTGCGACAACCGTGGCCAGATTTATCCAACACAGTTGTTTGTTTATATTTTAATTCTTTTCCTTATCAGAAAGTACGTAACCGGAAATGCAACTCAGCGCAGAGCTCGCGTAGAGTTGGGCCTTGTTTTGAACACATGCCTTGATATAAAAGTTACTAGAACTGTCTGAATTACCATGCAGGCTGCTCTTTAAACCCAGGGACAAGCTGTGTGGGTATGCTATGTATTCCCCCACGGACACGATGAGAATGTTAAAAAGTGCATTAAATTGCTAATTTAGGCTTTTGTGCGTGTTTTCCCCAGTGTTGTTCACAGTCCCCTTTTTTTTTTCGTAAAATCGTCAGGATCGAACAGCCATCTTGGTTTCCTATGTACCGAGGGGACGGGCGTCGTCCCCCGTCCCCTAGGTAGATTTGACGTTCATTCAACATGGTTGCCGGTAACACATAGCGCTCGGTGAAGTTCGGTCAGTAATAAGACCAGTCCCAAGTAATCATTACTTGACCTTACTTATGTCCTTGTTACAAGGTTTGTGTGACATTAAACACAAAATGAAACTACTAAAACAAAAATAAAACAACTAACTGAAATCAATCGCGACTTTTCCGCTGATTCATTTATTAATGCTTTTGGACATGGAAAGAATATAGCCCTCGTAAAAAGGTTTGAATGTGTGACGTTGAAATGAAGCTGCTATTTTGATTAATTTTTACCTCACTTGTGTGCTGTGACTATTTACACAACATCGCTTAGTCTCTTAGTCTTTTTCCTTTATAAGAATTGTCCCCTATTCATAGCCAACTCTGACGTCACCAGGTAAGCCATCGTTGTCAAGCAGTTCCCATGGGTATCGCTCTGTTAGTGGCATCTCGAAGGAAATGCTAGTAAAATATTCAAACTTTTGCTTATAATTTTTTCTCTGCCAAGCTGTCCAGAGTTTATCGACGAAGCTATGATGGATCCAGAACTCGGGGGTGAACGAAGCTGAGTGGTGCTTCAACATGTGACCGCCTACACAATCATGAAAAGAAGGATGAATCTTATCGCGAATGAACTTTTCAAACACAGTAAAATTGGAATTTTTTATAGCGTTTTCGATTTGGTCTTTGCTTGGAAGAAAGCATGAGCGATTGAAATTTCTTTTCAAACATCCGTAGCCGATCGTTTCTGGTATATAGAAGATCCCTTCTTTGAATGGCCCATCCGTGACACAACCATCAGGCAACTGACCGTCACCTCCAAAGCCGTGAGGCATAGGACTCCAAACGTCACTCTTCTTTGTCCCACGGGCCCAGTTATCCAAATCCTTGCTCCAGTCCAAGTAAGGAATTGTTATCCGGCAGTCGATTTGGCGAAGGAAGTTTTCAAATTCAAGCAGATACCATCTGTGCCATGGCAAAAATATCTGAGGCATGTGATGAAGGAACGTGCTTGGGATCCGCGAATGAAGCTTACATAGTCTTCTATACTCCTCTTTATAAATTGGGTTCGTTGCTGCTGTTCTTAAGCCTCGAACAAATCGGTATCTTTCTTTAAAATTCATAGTTTTGAAGTCTTTTCTAATGCGATGACAAAGAAGAAGTTCTTCTTTATAGCAAGTGCACCACCGGTTACAATCATCGAGATATACTTTTGCATTGTTTTCACAGGGCGCTGAATCCCCTAAATAGAGAAACAATAGTTGATGTTACATGTCCTAAACCTAACAGTTACCCAGTGCAAACAGTGTGCAAATACAGTCAAAGCTCTTATAACCATGTTACACAGAAAAAAGGAAACGTAACACCAACAAATTCAAAGTATGGAGTTTTACTGCGTAGTCGTGCATCACAAAAAAGTTGTTGTGTCTCTAATCTAAACCTATTGTGTTTTTGACCTCGCGTTCTCTTTGCAGTTACCGTGGTCTTTGCTGGGCCCTAATTTCAAGGAAAAGGATTGAATTGTTTTCTGTTACTTTTTCTATTCGCCTACCTCGAAGGTATCGTTTCAAATCGTTGTATTTCAAATCTGGACACAAGTTACTTGGTTTCATTAAACTGGCTGTAATCATCAAAATGGAGCGAAACGACCACATTAATATTAGCCCTCCAGTACAGCGAGGAGTGGAGAGACAGTTGATAACTTCCTGAAATAAATTGTTAACGCCAAATGCGAAATGTCAGGATGATCATAATCAGTCTAAAAGTAGGTGTCGTTATTGAGAAAAACTTCATTTAATTACATCAAATGTAACAACAACAACAACAACAACGGGTACAGCTAGTTACCTACTATTTACACGGGAAAACCGGTTGAAAAATCGAATGGTTCGCTCCATTCAGTTTGGGCAGCTTCAGAAAATATGGGCTATGATTTAAGGCAGTGCAATTTTTCCACTTTTTCTAGTCTGTTCTGTAAATTTGGATGTATTCTAGTCCCACCTTGTCAAATTTTAGATCATTTTATAGTTTTATGTTTAGGCACAAGATTTTTCCACCCAGGTAGTGTGTACATGTTAAGCACCCAACAAAGAATACAACAACTAGAAATGAAGTTCTTCAGAAGGAAGAGGCCAGCATTATTATTCCTTCGAAATATTTCTGAGTTCGCAATTGCTCAAATCCCTCTACTACTTCTTCATAACCAGCTGGCGTTGATCAAATTTCAAAAAATGTGCGCACCGATAAAATGACATTAATGGCACAGGATAACAACAGAAAAAGGCAAGCTAACAACCGGGAAGCCCTGAATACGAGGCTGCGTTAAATTCGGTTGAGCTTGAAAATGACAGAAACTTTTATTACTTGGTTGATGACAACTGCTACTTTAAAAAACAAATATGTGCTGGACTAAACATTTCCTTATATCCTAAATTTTCCAACTGAGGTTCCCATGTTTTGGTTTGTTTTAAAATTTATTATTTTGAAGGAGTAATAAATGAAACAACTAATATAAATGAATTCGCCTTTTCGGCGCTCCGTTGCAAAAATCATCGCGCCAAAATCAATGTTCTTATGCTGACTCGTCCCCAGTCGTCTCTCATTATTAGTCTTTGGCGTGGAAGACTAGAACGGGCTCTTTAACGATGGGGCTAGTAACTAATTAATAAGTAGAGACAACTTGGAGACGACTGGGGACGAGTCAGGTTCTTATGTGTGAGGAGAAGCCCTATTCGGTTTAGTTTTAGTGCGCGGGCGCAAAAGCTATCGGTTATTATGTGAACAGAGCATTAGTCATCTCAGCTTATCCTGCTACAAAGACCTAATATGAAACTACCTCACCTGTACTGCTGTGCATTCTGTAAATTTGGTGTCTTGAGTCCGCTCCTCGAATCGTTGAATAATTTTCTTTAAATTTTGTGTGCAATTTTTAATGGCCATATTTTGACAAAGTTCGGAATTTTCGAAGGATTCAAATAGAGTAAAAAGCCACAAAATGGTAAAAACATAACGTGTAGCCATGTTGTTAGGTTTCGTTTGCTACACATAGGTTAAACTCAATCACAGCTGAGAGGGGAAACGTCTATACTGTTCATTGACGTTCACTGTGATTTGTTGCATCCGTTTGGTTTTGTTTAAAACTGATTGTGTTGAATTAGTTAAACGCTGCTTAGTAGCTTATTAATAAGAAAATAAAAGGAGTGACAAAAAAGAACAAACAGCCGTGCAGAACCATAATTTAATTAATGAGCTCTGCCTTCCGCCTCAGCACTTCAGGAAAGAAAGGACAATTACTTCCTGACTAGGTGCTGTCAGTTTAAGGGATCTTGTACAAAAGGTGAAAAGTAGTCCTTTCATTTTTGTATTTCATAATCACCCGATGAGACAACAAATGAACAACTATTGATTTTACAGCTGCGACAGGAAAGGAGGTATCGCAGTTACCGCTAAGGGATGAGTTGTTTTCGTGTTTTCACAAGCCAGCGATGTTGCTATTAAAAGCTCTTTATGAAGGGAAACAACACAGAAAACATGAGACGAGCGCCTTATATTTACAGTAAGAGTTCTTTAGTTATTAAATAATATAATTATAATCAGTCTCGGCATACTTCATGGAATGGTAGATCATTCGGTGTAATTTAGGACCCATTTGTTACTGTGGACGCTGTTTTCTGTTTCTTTGCACCGCTTTTTTTTTTTTTTCTGTTCGGTCTCTGTTTTTAAACACTGTTTTTCCTTTTGGCCTGTTTTCCTTTATTCTTACTGCTGACCCTGCTGGTCATGCACTTGGATCAATATATATTTTAAGCTTAAGTCCGGAGTTTATTTTGGAAAAGGGATTTCAAAAGCTCTTTATCTGTACACTTTTTTTCAGTGTTAGTTGACATCATGACAAACAACACACAGTACACCACAAACTGTAGTAATTTACACCCAACACCCACCACTGACCCACTGGCGAAAGTTAAACTTGCTGCCTCACGTGTACATCGTCTTAATCATCAATATTATTACCCTAAAATCTCCACTGGATTTGCCCTCCAAAAAATAATTAAACGAAACTTTTTGTTGGTTTTCGGGATTTAATTACAGAATAACAGGTGTATGCCCAATACAGTATTAAAATGCGGTAAAGCAACAAGATTCAATGCTCACAGTCTCTCACAATTACCTGTCATTCAGCTTCCTCTTTCAACGCTAAAGCTAAGCGAACTTTGAGAGGAATGATATGGGCTTCCACTAGCTCTTCTGAAAATATGCACAATGTAAAGTATAATGCATCCTTTGATGAATCTCCTACTGCTGTGTCTAAACTCCTCAATCTTGCTGTGCACTGGCCCTCAAAAGTGTGACGGATCGGTATCATTGCAAGTAAAATTTGATCGACGATAGAAAGGAATCTTTAAAATTCATTACACCACTGGACATTTCATTCCAAAAAAAGTACTTAAGTCTAGTTTTCTATGACAATAGAAACCTTAAAATCTCCAAATCCAAGAAATCGGAACAGTATTTCCGTGATAAAATCGAAATTTTTATCCGTCTTTTCGATGAATTTGCTCGCCATTTTGAAAGTCACTGACGCGAGACGTGACGTCATACTGGCAGGCGGACTGTGCCACAGATTTACTTGGAGATGCTGAATTTTTGTAAGGTTGCCAATTCATTTATCAAGAGAACCATCTACGGTTTTTTTTTTTCAAGTTTTGATAAAGATCAGTTAGCGAATATCCATTGATACTGCTGGAAAGAGCGCCTTAAAATTAGTAAACTTATCAAGTGTAAAGGTAAAACGTTAACCCTTTAAGCCCTAAGAGTGATCAGCATCAAATTTCTCCTGGTAATATCACTGCTTTATAAAACAGAGTGGTCATGAGAATTGAGTACATGATCACACAAAATGAATCTAATTGACACTTCAACAAATTCTCCCGGTTACCTCTATTGAAAACGTATAGGGATAACTAATGAGAATTTGAATTTTGATGTTAGGGTTTAAAGGGTTAAAAGCGGGCGAAGATATTGCACCATAAAGTGGAAAATTGTGCGGCACTAACTCGCCCCACCATACAAACCGCTATAGAATTAGGCGAGTTTGCTGACATCTTCGTCTGTTTTTAAAAAATCCCGTTCAAACCTTGCAGTGTTGACGGATTTTCGCTAGCTGGTGGCAGTCAAAAGTTTCAAAAACGGTGGAAGGGTCTATTCAGTTGATAAAACCAAATTTTGCATTACACTCAAAGAGTATATAGAACATCTTACATCAAGAGGAAGCACCTTGGAAAGCAAGAAAAATTTATTTTGTTAAACATGGGCTTACATTGTGAGGCAAAGCAGCTTTTCTGAGTTTACGATTAATGGCAACCTTAGAAAACTAGAATGTATAGGTTAAATCTGTTCTTTCGAATAATTGCTCGCGCAAAATAAAAGGCATTTTGGACATAAAATTAGCTGCAAGGAGGATCATATTGGCCGTTTAAGACGGCGTATTTTCCGGGGTTGACCTCTTTGATAACTAACTTGACGACATCCCATAAAGCACTGTTTTTTTCAACCCTGAAAACGTAGTTCTCGGGCGGGGAGGAGGCCACCTTCACCATCTCGTCTATGCCAGAAATGTACCGTCCAACAGCAACCACGTAAATGTCTACACCAATGGCTTTTAGGGCGTTAGCTTTAGGTATAGTTAGGTGGGGAAACTCGTTCCATTGGCCATCGGTGAAAAGAAAAACTACCTTTCTTGAATTATCACGGCGTCCTTTGGAGGTGAAGAAAAAAAAAGTATTTGTTTAGTACCGACAACATTTGAAAACAACTGAACGGTCTCTTCGGAAAGTTTTGTTGCCCCCTTCCCTTCATTCCCCTTTACTTTTTTCTTGCCTCATACTTTAAACCTCACCACACTGATCTCATTATCCTTTCCTTTTCATTCAAGCCCTGTCAAAATCAAAGATGGTGACTGCACGGAGGAAACTTCAAGCTCTCGACCACCAGAAAAGCTACAAAGAAAACCATAGCTTACAAAACTGTACTCTTGGCGTCTCGTACTTAGCTTCGCTCCACACACTATTCACTCAAAATTAATGTTAACATCGCCTTCTCGATGCAATTTTTACTTGAATTAGACTACATTTATCTTATGTATACCATGAGGGAATTTTGAGGGGTAATCTTTACTTCTTGAACTGAAAGGATTGAAAACAAATTTCTAAAGGACGAAAGGGGGATGCCATTTGTTTTTTATTTGAAAAAAATAATAACGTTATTGATAAACTATTACATACTTCCAAGTTCAAATTATTTACAAGTAAGTAATAATAAAAAAAGAAACTGAAAAGTCAATGCTTTTTTGAAGTAACGACAGCTTAACCTTCAACATTATCTTCTGCTAACGTTACTATAGCCTGCGTAGTTGGCGTTATTGTCTTGGTGCGCGATTAAAGTTTTGGCGGAGAAGCCATAACCCTAAAAAAGGAGTGGGGACGAGGCGTTTGAAATACCTATTTCTCGCGGCTTACGCCACTCTTGACGGCTTCGCCACCAAATCTCACTCGACTATTACACAATACCGCCAGCTACGCGGGCTAACTTCAAGATAACCATGAGGCTCCCATTAATAACATTATGGATTGTTTTTATTCCAGCGATGACATCAAACATTAAATTTTTGTTGACATTGTTATCATCACCATCATTATAATAAAGACCAAACCATTTTGTTATTTCTCAAAACTTTGAAATTTCACATTCAGCATTTTACATACTTGATATGACTTAATTTTTTATTTTCTTTTGTTGTAACCTTTTTTAATAGGCTTCATAGTCAATTTGGTCAAGATAGGATTTAATGGTATTAGGTATTTGGCATAGGATTTAATGGAGCCGAAACTCATAATCGAAATGAAAACATTTTTGCCATCTTACTGATGAAGAGTTACGATTTAGGCTATATTCACTCTATACCGGGTAGGTTTTACACCGGCATGAAAACGATGGGTGAGAGCAGCGCCCGAAAACGTTTTATGCAGACACTGTATATTGCCAATCTACAACCATTTAAGACGTTAACAGCAGCGCAACTTCCTAGCTGTTTTGACATGAGCGCAAAACTCAAAAATTGGGGAAAAGTTTACGGCTATGATCCAAAGACAAATAGCCAAATTACTGACATATGATGAACGGAACAAATGCAGTGATGCCGGCAAAAAAATATAATCGCTCAATGTATGTCATCTGCTTTTTGAGGAGTATATGCGAGGAAAATAGCAAAAAACATCTGTTCATATCAGCTGAACATGCTTCGACAATCAGGCAAAATTATGAAGAACGTCGACGAGAAGGTAAGGACTTTAACAAATTAGAAAAAGATAAAATGAATGAACAGATATAAAACAATAATTGAATTCGGCTTTGGTGTGACAGAAAAAATTATTCAGATCCCGAGGCTGTTATGTATCGGTCAAATCGAAACTTCAACATCCTTCTCTCCGGGCATACCCCTAGTCTGCTACACAGCCGTTTTTAGTTTCTTCACGCAACGCTCCTTCCCTCTAACGGTAGCCTGTGAACAGGCTCTCTGTTTTGGGGGGAAAAATAGCAAGGAAAGGGAAGGGAAAGGGGGGCGGGGAGAGAGCCTGTAGACTAACATTTGAGGCAACTATTCCACCCTCGTGTAATTATCTTGCCGAACATCTGTCAGTAAGATCGTTATCTGTCAATCAATTTCGCGCGTGAGTAAGTCCTAGGGAAAATTAACAGGAAATGAGCCGTCTTTTGCTCCATCTCAAAACAAAGATGTTGTATCACGCTGGGCCCAGCTCATTAGTTTTCTTTGGAGAATGTTTAAAAATTATCACGGATAGTAATTTACAGATCCAAAGTTATAAGATTCAAGTGCAGCTTAAACCGTTGCCTGCGTCGAAGACGTTCTAAACCTTCTGTATAGACGGACTATACAAATGGTTTTGACGAGTGCGCGGGCCGGCTGCAACGCAGGCTACTTAAACCGAAGCTACATCAACTATGGAGAGTTGCATTGTGACTCGGTAAACTCCAGCCTAGTGTTTTTCTAAAGATAGTGTGAGTCTTTTGACTGGAGAGGGTAGTTCCTCCCTTGGTAATAGCTTTTGAACAAGCTTAACAGTCTTTGGAGTGTTTTGTCCTTTCCAGTTTGTGATCAAAACGCGTGCTACGTGCCGACCGAAAAGCCGATGTCAATAAGACCTGTCAACAGTCAGTGTTCTCATCAATAAGAACTTGCATCAAGATCTGATGCACAGCGGGTCCCGTGGAACGGCAGTCCCAAATGTTTGTCTACAGGCCTTTTCGCTTTTCCCTCTCCCTAGTTCCCCGCTCGACCAAAGGCCTGTTCACAGGCTACACTAACGGCTGCTGAAAATGGAACTACATTCCTTTCCCTTTGTGTTTGTGCTCTAACGAACAAACCAATCATGTATAAGAAAATAGACAATACGTGAGCCGCAGGGCGCTAGGAGCAAACACGCTTCTCAGTTTTCGACAAATCAATCAATAGTCGCCGAATTTTGATAGGCTCTGTGACTGCAAGTAACGAAAAGCTTGTTTGCAGAAACGTTTGTTTTAAGTGGTTAACAAAATTCCAAGTGAAAAAAAGGAAAAGGTTTGATAGGCCTACAAGACTCTTACCAAGATCGGTTGGTTCTTTTTAACGTGCATATGTATGATGAATTTCATGTGCCGGATGTGCTCAATGTGTTGTTGTACATGTGAAGACTGTGAAGACTAAACTCTCGGGGGTACTGATTCAAACAAAAGCAATCTTATAAATTATCGATCAGCGATTTCCCGAAACTATACCCGGCAACTTTATAAGCCATGTTGTGCATCATATTTGCTCGACTTGCTTGCTGTTGCTGCTTATCTCAAAAATTTTTGAAAGAACTCGACTACGACAACACTACTCAAGTTGATTGCTTATTTTCACGGCACGATTTTGATTGTTCTGTCATTTACACATGGGGCAACGATAAAAGCAAAGCTGTGATTGGAGGAGTCGTGGCGCGAACACCTTCCAGAAAATGGGAGCTGAATTCTAATTGACTAATCGCGGGAAAGGAACGTGGTTCGATTTTCAGCTGCTGTTAGTGAGGAGGAGGGTTGCGTGACGACACTAAAAACGGCTGTGTAGCAGACTAGCATACCCCAGGTATTTGACATCTTTGCCGTCCCTGGGAGAAGGGAATTTGATTATCAGAGTCTTCCAGGGGATGGGGAATGTGAACCTTAGCCTCGATTTCATGTTGAATCTCTGGGCGCTTTGCACGTGGCGAGCTATCGTGGAGAACGTGGTGTCAGAGCCTTTTCATGGAAAAGATTGTGCCTTTGTGGCCAATTGGTTACGAGGAAAGGGCTTAAACAAGCTTTGTGTCGTTAATCTTGGATTCAGGCTTTGAATATGTAAACGTATTTTGGGGAATCTTTTATATAGGGTTAACCTCTAGATATCCCCTTTCGAGAGATATTTTGTAACTTTAGCTCTTATCTCTTGAATACTGTATTGTATTGTATTGTATTAAGTTGTGTTTACAATGAAATACAATACCTATATATACCTGTGATTCAATAGACAACAATAAAAAGCTCACTGAAGACTTCAACCTGCCGCATGTATGTTTATTAATAAGGTGAGCGATGATGCATATTAGTGAAATACATGGTCATGAATACCCCATGTATGGAATGTAGAAATCTCAGTAGGTCGGATTTTTTTTATAGAGTGTTTTCACTCACATGGCCAGCATCTATGCAAATTTATTGGAACAACAGAAAGCGTTTGCATTAAAAGAGTTGAACTCCCAGAGGATTGGTTTGGGAGACCAACATGGCCGCCGTTTCATTGTTTTGGGACACCAATATGGCCGCCATTGACGTCATGTGGGGAAACAATCTTTAGAACTCTTTGTATGTTGCATGACACACGAAGAAAAGCTGAGCACTCAATGTTGTGACCTTGTAGCAGCGGTTTCCGCCGCTTTAAGTTCGCACCAAGAATTTGTTCACAGTGAATTCGCCTACAGTGTTTGTCAGTTTTTATTATATTGAATGCGAATTATTTGCTGCATCTATAAAGAAGGGAGAGGTAAGGGGGGTACTAATACCGCAAAACCGCACAGAAAAACGTATAAATACCGCACAGAATAACATACGAAAACCGCAAACCGCATTGAAATTACCCGAAAATTTCTAAATACCGCAAACCACTTGGTTTTGTAAAACCGCACTACCGCAACTTAAAATAGAAATCACCGCAAAACCGCTAAAGAATTGACAGAAACCGGAAACCGCGCTAGAAAAGTCTCTGGCACCCAGGGTAACCCTTACGACCCCCTCATAAAGATTTTGTTCGACAAATGAAGGCGTTTTTTACGTCCTTATGTCATTCATGCGCCTGTGAAATGTCCCCTGGATTTGACTATACATACAAACATAAATACAATACATACATACATAACCCTTTTATATTATATTAAGATTTATCGAATTCCAAATAAAACTCAATATACAAGTGCACAAAATTAAAAAGATAAATACCTGATGAAGGGTCGTCAAAGAGTTTTTTGGCCTCTGCCAGACCCGCCTGAGTGTTGCTTCCGCCCCCGGGGTAAGAAATCGATAGTATTTTATTCCCTGCTGAAGGGTAGGTTAGAAACTTAAAGTTGACGCTGGCCGCACAGGAAAAAGTAACTGCTGCATACTTTGTATCGTGCCGCGAGTTATACGATGCCACACTCATTAGGCCTTTCAACGCTTTCTTTCCTTTTTCAAATTCGCATTTATTAATCGACTCGGAACCGTCCATAACAATCACAATGTCTTCAACAGTAGGAGCCCATTTCTTAACACGATCAAAGAATTTTGGACGAATGTGGAGAAAGTTGACCATGAGCTTTTCTGCGGTGACATTTGGAGAAGACACTTTTTGGAAAGCTGTGAAGGGAAACGACACACAAACTGAGATTAAAATAATTAAACACAAATGCGTGTGTTTATGTCATTAGAAATGTCGCATTGCAAACAACCATTATCAAAGGAAACCAGTCTTGAATGGTGAAGTTTTTAGATGAGCTAATTGTGTGCAACATATTTCTCCCCAAAATAATTTAGTAACCTTGTAAACAACTGAAATTAAGCCAATGGCATGTACCGTATTTATTCGAATAAGCGCCCAACCTCGAATTAGCGCCCACCTCGAATAAGCGCCCAGCCTCGAATAAGCGCCCACCCCCTCCTCCCCCCAATCAAACTCAAATAAGCACTCACCCCCACCCCACCCACTGAAGTGAATAAGTTCTTCCCAAAGAGACTTCCCAAAGGACGGAGTTTCTTCAGAGTATTTTACAGAAACCTTGCTTTGTTACTTCTTCGCGTTTTGTTATTAGCATTTATTGTTTTGTTGCAAAAAAAACATACTTCACTTGCTGAAAGTGGTGAAAATTTAATAAGCGCCCAGCCTCGAATAAGCGCCCAGCTCGAATAAGCGCCCACTCTCAAGGTCCAAAAATTTAATAAGCGCCCAGGGCGGTTAATCGAATAAATACGGTATTCATTACTATAACCTCTTTAGAAGTATTCACCGCAGCTGATCAGCATTCCAAATTCATAACAGGAGAAATAACAACTTATTTATACTTGTTAGACTTACACTCGTAATACGTAAGATTGTTAGGATCTGTCGGCATGGGAAGAGCGTTAGCGGAGCTCTGTCCACAAAACAACATTACTGTGAAACAAACCGTCACGCTCCCGGCGAATCGAACATCAAGTCCCGACATCTTTACAGTCTTTAGAACACTTTTCGGTTATCTGTTCGCCACGCTTTATCTTTCTGCTCTGTGAATGAGCTAAATGAATGACCTATTTATTGCTAACGATAAACTTCCCTGCAGTTCAGCAAGGGAGGTTGTTTGTCCATGAAAACGTGTTTCAGGCAGACAGGAACATGTCACTGATGTGATTATGTTGAAACATCCCGCGGGAGGGTATCCCTGGGAATTCATGGTGGGGGTGTACCGCTCGGTTCACAAAATCCTGACCCGATTTCAGACCACATACGAGTAGGTAAAGGACAACAGTAAATGTCCTAGTTTAATTTATATATGGACAGTAACTTCGGACGCCAGCATATAACTGAAAACCACACCATTCTTTATTAAGCAGCTTCCTTTTATAGGATCATCAGTATTTTTAATTACTACGCTGGCCGCACAGAAAAAAGTAACTGCTGCATACTTTGGCCTGCAACGGGGTATCCGGTGACAACGGCCAAGCTCATTAGGCCTCTCAACGCTTTCTTTCCTGTTTCGAATTCGCATTTGTTATTAATCGACTCGGTACCATCCATAACAACCACAACATCTTCAACATAGTCAGGAGCCCATTTCTTAACACGATCAAAGAATTTTTGGACGAATGTGGAGAAAGTTGACCATGAACTTTTCAGCGGTGCCATTTGGAAAAGACCCCGAAGGGGGAGTACTACCATATATGGGCTATATAGGTATGTGCCGCTGTGAAGGGTATGGTTTTCAAGCAGTTTACTCTAGGATAGGGAATATAAATCAGATAGTTTGGGTCTAGAATAGGGTATCATTTTTCAGGAAACTGATCAGTTGGTTTAAGATTTTATCTAGACTAGGGAAACAGCTACTCTAGGATAGGGGGGATTTGGGGAGTTTACTCTAGTATAGGGTAGCAAAATGCAGCTGAACTAGCTCTGGTATAGGTTAAGGGTTCCAGGGTCCCAGCGGCACATCCCCACCCCGAAATTCCTAAAGTACGCCCCTCCCCTGGGGAGAAGACACTTTTTGGAAAGCTGTGGAGGGAATTAAACGACACACAAACCGAGATTAAAATAATTAAAAACAGATGCCTCGCATTGCGAACAACCATTATCAAAGGAAGCCAGTCTTGACATATTTTTCTCCAAAATGATTCAGAGTAACCCTGTTCCCGGGGGGGGGGGGGTGTACTGCCTTATAAGAGGCTATTGGGGATGTGCCGCGTGATGGGGTCGCATTTTCAATAGAGTTACTATCATGCAGTCGCACATTTTCATGATTTTGGGGGTAAGACAGTTCTGAGTCATATTTACGGTTAGCAAACCAACCAGAGTGTTTGTACTGTAGGTGAAAAGTAAGGTGTTCTTCATTCAATATAAGGTAGATACAAAAATAGAAACTGACTTAGTTCGGATCGCGAAAATTACATATTAACCCAAAACTGACTATGATGGGGTCTATAATTGGGCAAAGAATAGACTGTAATGGGGTAAATGGGGTAGGGGCTCTGAGACGCCGGCACATACCCAGCAAAAATTAACCCAAGTAGCCCCCCCCCCCTCCCCCGATAGTATTCACCGCAGCTGATCAACATTCCCAATTCATAAGCGGAGAAATTTTCATGCCGTTGAGGTCATTTTAGAGTCTAATTTTCCGAAAAATTGATGTGAATTTCCTTAGAATGGAGTGGACAGAACTTCATGACTTGAATCTTTGCGAAGAAGTTTTAGTTGTTGAACCTTGGAAACATCCTTACCGTAGTAAGGAAAGAGGAGATTCATGGAACGAAATAGCAAACAATTTAAATGCCTCTGATCATCCTACGTTTAAAGTATCAAAGAGAAGTGTCAGAGACAGGTTGACATTACTTCAACAAAAGTACAAAGCGAAAATGAGAAAGGAGGAAGCTGCCTCTGGGATAGACTGTCAGGAAACAAAGCTAGGCAAAGTGTTAGAAGAAATCATAGAAAAAGAGAAAGCGGCCACGGATGCGAGAAGCCTGCAAGATGATAACAAGAAAACTGAAAAGGCAGCAGCGGAGGAGCATCGCAACCGAGCGGTTGAGCGTTTGGGCGAAACCAAGAAAAGGAATGCCGAGAAACAAGACGAAAAAGCCCAGACGGCGAAGAAAGGAAGAAGATCGACATCGGAAGTGGTGCAATTTCTGAAAGAAAAGTCAGAAAGAGAGAGTGTGCTGAGAAAGGAGGATTTGGAGTTGAGACGAAAGGAGCTGAGTCAAAAGGAGGATATGATGAAAATGCTAGCACAACAACAGCAGCAGCAGACTCAGCTTATGCTTTGTTTGCTTGCAAAAGGCCAAAATAAGAACAGTTAAATATCCGCTATTTTATCCATCCAAGTGTTGGTTTTTCCAATGTTGTTGTTACTGAAAGTTTTACCGTGAAAAAGTGCTGAGGCAGCATGCATATTTTCCAGACATGCAACAATGCACTGTTTGTATTTGAAGGTACATTTTGAGACTGCAAAGTTCTAATTGATTAGTGTTGTTGCAAAACCTTAAATTGATTAAATTCAAGATTCATGTTTCAAAGTTGTATTTTATGTGCATTTCTGTACATCTTGTCTGACTGGCTACAATCTTCAGTGTTGTATTTGATGCTACAACATTTTATCGTGATTAAATTTAAGCTTTGTGTTTCAAAGTTTCAAGTTTATTTTACGGTACAGTGTATGCCCATCTTGCCTGACTGGCTACAAAATGAAGCCTCCTGTATCGGTTGGAATTGAGGGGTTATCTGTCAAAGGTGGGAGGGTCAGAAAATATGAAAAATGTATCAGAAAAGGGTGGGGCAACATTTTTCCTCTTCCCCTCCCCTTCCTCTGGTAAATAATTAAGTGGCTGTCCACCTAAGAGCGGTCCGGCGAGTTTGGGATCGCCAGTAAACCTTCCCTTTGTTTTTTGTGGGTGAAAAGGACTTAATGAGGAATGATTAAAATCGAACTAATTTTTTTCAAAATCCTTTTCTGGACTTCGCTACAGAACAAAACTGCTTTCCTGTCTGAGAGCGCTTTTTCAACCTTATTCCATGGACGAAATTCGGTGATTTTAAAAGCCGCGCTTCTTCGTAACGGATAAATATCGTGAAATTCTACATAGTACAATGAATTTAGCTGCAGTTGGCTTGTCCTATGACGGAATATGGAATAACTTGACGCAAAATTAAATTAAATTAATAAAATCAAACAAGCCCCTTTGCGTTTTTTTTCCCTCTTGACAAATTCTTCCAAAGTAAAAGCTAAAATCTCCAAAGCGGTACAAAAATCACTGGTAAAATGCACTTTACAGCAAAGATCTTACCTTATTCTGTCAGAAAACAAAGTCAAAGGTGCGGGTATCGTTCTGGGTTGGACGTGATCAAACGTTTTTAAGAGCCTCTTTTCGGCATTATTTGCATAGATTTGCCCGCTTAACGGTTCACACACAACGACTTTAATTTAGTAGATATTTTCTCAGTAGCTGAGAATGTTGTTGTGTATCCTCAAAATTACCAACATGTGTTTTCTTTTCACTAGCCTTTTTAAGTTTGTATAAATGAAAGCCGAAAAAAATGCCATAAACTGACATTCTTGATCAACCCGTCGGATATGCAAATCGTGCTTTTTTATAGACAGGTTGTCCATTTCAGCATGTTAAAATCTCAAACTACGTATGGGTATTAACTTCTTCTCAAATGTAATCAATCTTCAGCTTGGAAACTCAGCAACTGGATACCCTTTTTAAAATAGAAATTTATCTCATATCCCGTTTGAGTTTCTTTTTCCGTTTCGAGCATTTGACATGATTTGAATTTGAATTCCCACATCCGTGTTTATCCCTCATTTATGGTGAACATGTCGGATTCTCTCACCTCGGGTAACTTTTCTCGTGTAGCTCTTGAGAAATTATTATGAATCACTTTAAGTTTGGTGAAGGGTATGACTGTCGTAATATTTTTCCGAGTGCGGGTAAGATTGAACGTTTGTCTCATACACGCCTTCAGTTATATGCTAATTTGCATTTTTGTCACGCAAAAGGAGACAATAGGGGGTGGGGGAGGACAAGGACACCGAGATTAAAAAAGAATTTTACAGAGCTGGAAGGATAATATATATTATACATACAACGAAGTGCCAGAGTGGTGTCCTCATCGATAGTGCTCAAAAACTTATAAGGCGATTTCAAAAACTTATAAGGCGCAAATATCTATATAAATGTATTCAAGTGCTCAATAGTTAACCTATAGCAGAATAGAAGTAGACTGATGAAACTGGATTAAATCTTGAAAATTTGTTGCTACCCAGAGTTTCAGTTACAGTTACAGTTTGCGAGGCAATCATCAGGCAACTGCCAAAATTAACGGTTACAATCAAGGATATAGGTAAAACAGAACCGTAAATACTAGGCGTGGCGCGTGGCTCGTCGCGCTGTTTATAATTTGTAAACCTTTAATGTCTACCCTGGACAATAGAAATGAACTAAAAGAAGAAGAAATTTCTACTAAACACTGTCCTAACTTGGTTAGTTCTTGTCGTAAATTTGACATGTAAGCATCACTTAAGTACGACGCGCCACGCACCTACGCCACGCCTGGCATTTATTGTTTTGTTTTACCAGATGATTCGCCTCGCAAGAGGCATGACCCCCGGGGTACTTTAGGAATTTCTGGGTGGGGATGTGCCGCTGGGACCCTGGAACCCTTAACCTATACTAGAGCTAGTTCAGCTGAATTTTGCTACCCTATACTAGAGTAAACTCCCCAAATCCCCCCTATCCTAGAGTAGCTGTTTCCCTAGTCTAGATAAAATCTTCACCCAACAGATCAGTTTCCTGAAAAATGATACCCTATTCTAGACCCAAACGCTCTGATTTTTATACCCTATCCTTGAGTAAACTGCTTGAAAACCATACCCTTCACAGCGGCACATACCTATATAGCCCATATGTGGCAGTGCCCCCCCCGGGGGCATGACTCACTGAGTAGCAATAAATGTTCAAGATATAATCCAGTCCCATCAGTCTTAGACTGCAAAACAGTCGGTTTTTTTCTCAAAATCAGTAAAGAAATCGGTAAAGCGTGGCGTAAGAGTCTTACGCGCGCGAAGCGCGCGAGCCTCACACGCCCGTAGGGTGTGTGAGGCGAGAGAAAAAAAACCGACTGTCCGTTTTCCATACAATGAGTTCGTTCCGACCAGGGGGTTCAAAAATGTCGTCGAGCTGTCAAAAATCTGTTCGCAACTCCGCCCTCTTTGTGAATTTGATAGACTCGCGTGTTATTATTGACGCTGTAATCCAGTATTTTAATAGCGTTGCTTCCCTGTGAAATGTAGTGTATATATTGAAATGTAGTATATATAGTGGAGGATCAAAAATGAGCGAAAGTGGCAGTACGACAACAAAGCCTGTGCCTGCTCCTCGAAGAGGGAGAAAGGCGAAAGAGCCGAGGGCTTTGGACAAATTGTAGAATGCGGCTGTTGTTTCAAAACACAGTTCGGCAATTTTACGAATGGATGGATAAGCTCGGAAAATGCGTTTGTTGCGCCTACCAGAAAAGGGGAAACGTTACCAAAGTGGGCCGACCTACTGAAAAACGAACTTTTCGTTGTCCTCGAGGAAGGAGAATCTTTCTCCACAACAGCAGTTTGCTCTCCGTGCGGAACAACGGTTAGAAACTGCCCCGGGAAACTGCACGGCGATGCTTTCGCAAATTAGAGAAGAACTGAACACGCCAACTGACAATGAACAATTATTGCGATTGAAAAGAATGAGTAAATCCCCTCATTCCAAACCAGGTCTTGGTGATTTAGCTCTGTAAATTACTATCTGTGAGAATTTAAAATCCTGCCAAAAACGCTAACGAGCTAGGCCCAGCGTGACAAAACATTGCAGGAAAAAGTCACATTCACGGACACAAAGAAAATCGCTTAAAATTATTCAAATCCAGGAGGCACTTTGAAGAAATAAAACAACCTAAAACCCTTAATCAGCCGCAATGAAGAGCTTTACATTTCTAAAGGGGCCAAGAAAGAAAATGCTCTTGCGTCAGAGGGCAAATCATGCCTACCAGAGAAAATCAATACGCGTGTCACAACCTCTCAGTATGAAATATATTTAATAAGCGGCCAAAATTCACATTTGCTCAGTCAAAACGTTTTTCTCCAAAGCATAATCTACTCGACAGAGAAAATAATTCATTGGAACAAGCGGCATGTTTCCATGAGGTAAAAGTCGTGTGTTTCCTACCTAGCCAGGCGAGATAACAATGACGGTCGGCGGTTGCACGGAACTTGAAGAACCCTTTGCATGAACAAACATCCGATAAATAAGGCTTTTGTCAAATCCTGTTGGTAGAACACAGAAAACATCCTTTCCCTTAAGTAGCAACTCCAAAGCTTCCCTCTGCTCCGATTTTAAAACAAATCCCAATTCTTGCGAGCAAATCCAGGCGATCAACACCTGTCATTTTATAGAGAAAGCTTTAGCAATTCATCACGGTATGGAACAACGTGAATGACTTGTTGAAAACATTACTTGACAGCTTGGTGACAGCTTGCATGGAAATTTAGCCAATGGGAATTGCCCGTGGCTGGGAGAAGCGGGTAATTCGAACGAATATAACGTATGCAAAACGGACAGCCCGTATTTTTAGCGTCTCTCCCCAGTCTCGCTCTCTGTTTTCAGCCTCATTCCAGACCTTTTTTTTGACTGCTCGCGCGTACTTGAATACGCAAAAATACGGACTGTTTTGCAGTCTACATCAGTCTACTTCTATTATATACATACATATATACAACTTTATCTAGAAGCCAAAATTAATGCAGCCCCCACCCCCATCAATAATCGAACGGTCCACGCCCAAGAACACGTAAAGTGCCACATTGCTTGTAATTAAATTGATTCATTACCAGAAAAAAATCCTAACTCCTATTATATGCAAGGGGCACCCAAGGACGGTTTCCTCCTATATGCATTGAGAACACTTTTTAGGCTATCCAGAGTACTTTTAGATCTCTAGAAATGTATTCCAATTGGCGCTAAAAAGACTTTTATCTGTTGGGTCATACTAGGGCAACCGTGAGTCTTTTTTCCCAAAAATTCTAGCTGCAATTTAAAATTTTACGAAAGTGAGAATTTTTCTGATTCCTTTCTGTATCGCATTTTCGGTTCCGAGAATTTTAGGTTTCCTTTCTCTACCAAAAGCAGCTTAACCTGGGGTGTGAAATAGGAAAAATTAAACTTCAGAAAATCGTAGGGAATTTATTAGATTAGCTTCAAAAATTGTACATGCGTGCAACGGTCATCTACTAAATTTTTAGTCTTCCTCAAGCTACAGAAAATTCTGGGCAATTTTGCTTCTCCGAACAGATCGGCATTCTATGCGGCCAGTTGGATTACCCCAGTCCTTCCCTAGGTTCGCACGATGTATCGGACATACAAACATTTTTTCACCTTGTTGGGTAGTTTTACCAAAATACCTAGCCCCTTGCAAAGTAAGTTCAGGGGCACCCAACAAAAATTTCGGAAGAATATCTGTTCGGAAGACGATTTGAGATCTAGAATTTTCAAAACATTTGTTGAAAAATTTCTTGCTTGCCTGCCTCTCCTAGGATTTTCGAACATCCAAAAAATGGTATATTTGCCTATTTTTAACGGATTTTTACCCTAAAAAGGCCAGCTAGAATTTTCGGAAGCCTTTTTTCTGGCTGAAATTTTCGAAAAGGTAAGTTTTGATCCCTATAATTTTCGGATCACTAGGAAATCCGAACAGATGAAAAATTTTTAGGGGATAAAAATATGCCCATATCTACCGTTTAAATACTAAAATACGTTTAACAATGCTATGTTTAAGTGGTTTTGAACTATATTCTCGTTGGGTGCCCCTGTAAGTTCACTCTCTCAGTGTAATATTTTCTTTCGTTAACATCGCCTCGAATCGAGCCGTAATAACGCTCACCTGTTACATTGACTAAGAGGCACCAACTTGCTTTCTCCTTCCGCTTTCATTGCGTGACAACAATCCTAATTAACATATGACCATGACCAAAAGGAAATTGAGCTGAATTCAGTCTTTATTAAAGAGCCTTTTAGATGCTGAGACTCCAAACTCAAAACGGGCTTCGTTTGACCAGAAGTGAATTGTATTCTTTATGATTTTGAAAATTGCTGAAATCCACAACCCCGCTGTAAATGAGCTTTTAAAATTGCATAATATACTAGTAGATGAAGAATTCCTACATGTATTTTATGACATTTTATGCCGGTTTACAGGCCTAAGATGGCTTACAAAACAACAAATGTACGTTATTTTGACGAAGCATACCAAGATTTTGCCCCGTGGGAAAAATATCAGCATTATCATATGAGTTTAAGTGTAGGTGCCAAACCTGCAATTTTGTGGTGTGATTGGAACATTCGCCAGCGGGCTCCTGTCACCAGTTAATGCGTTCCAGATGTTGTGCCTCTTGGCTGGAACTCAAGTTTATAAAACAAAACAATCTTATAAAGCAGTTTGTCATTTATTAATACACTCCTGTATCAAATTAACCTGCCCTCTCTTGATACACCCTGAAAGAAAAAAGCACTCAAGAAACAATGCATTGCTATTCACATGAAACTGTCATTATTGCACTGACATGTCATTCCTCTTTGATTACCGGTATATTATTTGAATTACTTTCAAGCAAAGTAATCTTGCAGTGTCGGCGGATCTAAGTTAAAGTATTGCGATGTCTGATTTGGATATAGGCATGTAAGAGCATTCCTGAGAATTGCACAAACGACATACATCTTTCCTACACTACTCAAACTAATTTTTAGATTCTTTTTAAAGTCCATAAACTTAAAATAATTTACAATGTCATTAAACAGCCATTCTATGGACTCCCGCACTGTACTCATAGACTGGTTGAAAACAATCATTGGGGCAGTAAGGGCTCTATTTCGGAATGGCGTCTGTAAGTAAATTCTATGAGGGTATGCCGGATCGCCATACAAGCAAAATGGATTGCCAGCTGGTGAATTTGCAAAGCGTTGCAGGTCTTGAAGAAGTCCTGAATCAGCTAGCATTCAGGCATCGTGTTTACGACCCTCTGAAACAGTAAAAGGAAGTAAAAAATTCGTAAGGAACTAAAAATGCTTCTTGTACAGGTTTGTCACATAAGCCTCTCACTCTTTACCCTTCCAATATGTCTTGTTAAAAACATAGTGAAATTGAAATCGCCCACTCTCTCTTTGTACAAACACTCCCTGCAAAACTTACCCACTGGACCAAATAGGTTACCAATTAAACCATTGGGTAGAGCCACACACTGGAATTTTAGAGCGTGAACCCTCTTATGGCCGTTGTAGATGACTCTTTGGTGCTCTCCTGGTCTGCATACGGGTCGAACGGTCCCATCAACGAACCCAAAACAATTATGTAAAGCAGCTCCTTTGCCGGAAATAACGTTACTGTAAATCTGTAATGCAGCTGGATTAAGCACATTGTGGTTCCGCTGTGTTATGCGATGTCTGTGAGTGTTATATATAAAATCCAAGACGTCATTACTGACCATACTGAGAACTGGTACTGGCAGTCCGAATCGAGAAATCATGTCACTGTATCTGCAGGGATAACTTAATCTTCTAAGAAGAATGCAGAGACCTTCCATTCCGTCAACAACACTTCTTTGATAGCATCTGAAGCTATCAGGTATTTGAAGAACCTCTGAGAGAATTTGCAAGTCGTGCTTTCTAAATCTAAACTCTGCCAAGCACTCGGCATCGTTCATCTCATCGAGGGAAAACCTGTCGCATTCCTCGTACGAGAAATTGGGATTTGTCGGCATAAATTGCTCGTGTAGTAGCAAAAACTCATCTTCATCTAGCATACCGTCCTCATAACTCAAAAGAAGTTGCTCTTGAACCTCGTGAAAAGAAGACATGATAAAATTGTTGGACTGTTTCTCGATTTTCACGATAAATGAGCACTGTTTTGTTTACATGTCCTCGTCCACGTTCAAGTGCGCGCTTAACATTTTAGTTTTCCCGCCGTGAACGACGTCCTCGGCCTAGTCCCTCAGCAACTCTACTCGTCGTCCTCGTCCAATTCGTCGTCGTTGCTTAAGGTCCCTATTACCAAGCAAACCGTCACGCTCCTGCCGACTCGAACATCAAGTCCTGACATCTTTAGCACAGTTTTTCGGTTATTTATCTGTTCGCCACGCTTTAACTTTCTGCTCCATGAATGAGCTAAATGAATGACCTATTTATTGCTAACGATAAATTTCCCTAGAGTTCAGCAAGAGAGCTTGTTTGTCCATGAAAACGTGTTTCATGCAGAAAGGAACATGTCATGAAACGCGCCTGGAATACATCCCGGGGGAGTATCCCTGGAAATTCTTGGTGGAGGTGTGCTTCCCGGTTCACAAATCCTGACCCGATTTCAGACCACATACAGGTAGGTAAAGGACAACAGTAAATGTCCTAGTTTAATTTATATATGGACAGTAAGCTCCTTTGCCAGCATATAACTGAAAACCAAACCATCCATTATTAAGCAGCTTTCTTTTATAGGATCATTATTTTTAATTACTACGCAAAAAAGTTTCAATGGAGAACGAGAGGAGAATAAACATCTCTATGTTTTGCAAGTTTTAAGTGTAATCATCTCGGATCTGGCTGATGGGACATTATTATCATTATCATTATTATTCCTCGCGAAAGCGATCTATAATCTCGTCTAACACGAAGCGCGTTGACCGCGCGTGGTCTTAGTGGAGTGCGAACTTGGCTGGCCCATAGATCTACCGGGTTGCCTGAAATCTGAAGTCAAGTCCAGCACATTGCAGGCAATCTGTTAAAGCATAATTTGCATAAAGCCGGGATGCTTTAAGTGAGAAAATAAAAATCTCCCTCTTCAGGACTAACCACCCTCAGTCCTTGAGCATGGGCTCCAAATAACTTCCCGGAATTGACAGAAAACAGTGGAAATTTTAGAAATGCTCGGGCGACACGACATATTTTTTGAGGGGGGCTTCCGTCAAGGTGGGTGTCAGCTTCTTGCACAGTCACAGGGCTATCAGCTGGTAGCCTGGAAGAGCATGCTTTGTGCTGGACTGTGGATTCGCTGAAATTTTCACTGGGGCTTATCCCTGTCTTTCAAAGCTCAGTGTCTCCCTCAAACTGCGGGGCTCATCTTGTTGCACAGACACAAGGCTTTCAGGACCTCTTTTGCCAAATAAGCGCAGACAGGAGCTCCCAATTGTGCAAATTTCGCACATTCTATGTAATCAGAACGTTAATCCCAAATCGACACTGCTCAGTTCCTGAGAATACCGCAGAATTTTCGTATCATTAGTCTCGTTATTTAAAAAATGATACCCCTGAATTATGAGGGGTGATTTCGGGCCAATATTAACTTTCAAATAATGTTCTGCCATTCTCCTATAATGTTATTCAGTTTTCTTGGGAATTTGTTTATGCAATTTCGAATCCTATTATTCCCTTTCGAATTCTGTTATTCATTTTTCCGATTTTATTATGCCATTATGAATTCTTTAATTCAGTTTCCAATTCTATTATTCGCTTTCGAATTATGTCATGCAGTTTTCCAATGCTGTTATTCGATTGTACAGTCCTCTCCTGTAGTTTCGAATAATATCATTTCCTTTCAAATTCTGTTGGTTACCATTCTAATTCTATTATGCCATTATGAATTCTTTTATTCACCCTTATTCAGTTTCAACAGGGGTCTTTTTTGCATGAGCATGCGCGACCGCTGAACAAGCGATGTGCACGGAGGCTCACCACAGGGTTTGCCTTCATCAAAATGGCGCGTCTCAAAGCTATCATAGCGATTATTTTGCCCGTTGCTCTTGGCGAATGTGCTCGTGATTTAACAAAATGTGTAGTTTGCAAAAAAAAAAAAAACAACTCTAACATGGTGTTAACAAAAGCGAAGTAGACCGGCTTTAACATACACGAGCTACTATCAAATTTCATCTCCCCACTTGACCTGGACAACAGCGTGCGTATATGTAGTGCCTGGAGGATTGCGCTGACCTCATCACAGTCTAAACAAAGTGCAGAAACGTCTGTTGATGCAAGTAAGCACTTTCAATTTTCTTTGTTTTGAAATGGGAAAGGAAGAGAAATATGAAAAAAAAGAACATAGCAAATTTCAGCGAGTGGGTTCGAAGTGCGTGAAAGCCGATGTTCAGTTCAGCAGTGAATTAATATAATGTTCTACAATTTTCCCAGCACTTTAAAGCTACAAAATTAAGAGCACACGAGACGTAGATTAGTCACCTGGTGAGATGTTGGTGGTAGTCACTCTGTATGTCTCGAACAATAAAAAAAATGAATATCAATGAGACACAGTCAAAACTGCATTCAATAGGACCGAAATTAAAGTCCAATCTTGTGTCCGATTTTGATGAAACAAACGGTTAGGTTTCCCAAGAAGTACAGTAAACATGTGGTGCCGACCAAAAGTTAAAAATCATTAGAACATTTAAGTTCTGGCTAAAAGCAAATTCCTGTAAAAGATGCGTTACAATGTTAGTCCACTCAAAAACAAGAAGTTCTACAATTTTCCTATAAACAAACTTTGTATCGCTAAAATACTTAAGGCAAAAACTTTCTATTCCAACTGAAAACGGCGTGGTAGTCGCCCGCTGATCGTTACTAATCCACTCCCGAAACATGGCTAAATCAGCTATTAACAAATTATTGACAGAAATCATCTACGGCATCGAGAAACTGATTTACATTCGATTTATAGACAAACACTAAATAAAGAACATTTTGCTCAATAGCTACGCATCAGCAATGCATTCTATGCCAAACTTTGCGGTTCTTAAAGGGAAATCAAGACACGAGTCGAGCGCCAAACAACAACAAGCAGCCATGTTCGTGTCAGACATCCTTGAGAAACTTGCTCTTTCACCTCGTTCAGCGCATCAGTCTCCACTTTAAATCAACAGATCTTTACTTATTTTGGACAACGAAGGTCTTTCCTAAGTTCCTGCTACCATTTCAATCTCAAGCAAGCTTCCAAAGTGAACAATTTGGTTCCTATGACTATGCAGCACGGTCGCTGTCACTGGTCGCGTGCTCTTTGACAAGTCAGCGGTCGCGCATGCTCATGCAAAAAAGACCCCTGTTTTCAGTTTCCAATTCTGTTATTTCCTTTCGAATTAAGTTCTTCCAAATCCGGGACTTCGTTTATTTGGCCGACGGTACCCTGGGGACCAGTAACAACTTGATTGCCCGAATATAAAGAGCGTGGCGGACTTGGACGTCGGCGTTTTACGGAATCAATCACGAGCATGCATAAATGCAATTCTACAGCAACTTAATTCACCAAATTTTGACTCTGATAGTCACGATTCTGAATTCTACCGCGTTATGATACCGTTCCAAGGTTTGATAATAAAGGATTAAATTAACTGCAAAAACCGTGGACGAAGATCCTGGTAGTTGTAAACGTTGGATCTCTAGAAAAGAGATCTAATCAGCCAAAATATAAGGAACCAAGAACGAGAAGTCCAAAGACTACTGCAAAGCTGATTTAAAACAAAGTGTATTGTTTTTTGTAACAATATTTCGGCTGGCCACACCAGCCTTCTTCAGGTTTACAGATGTTACTGAACTTATGTAGGAATAACAATATTATATAGATAGAGAATGTCGCAATAAAAATTGTTTAAAAGGGAGAGGCGGAAATGACGTACAAATTAAAAACTGGAAAGGAAAAAATACTAAGGATATGGATTACAATAATTCGTCACGGCCATGAGGTTCAAGAGTCATGGCCTTATCTATCAAATGCGACTCCCTGGCCTTACGAACTGAGTCACGTGAAGAACGAATTTTCTCTAGTGGGATCAACTGCGTGTCAGTATGAGAATGGTTAGAGTGAGAGAGAAAGTGTACGAGGTTTGCTTTTACGGCGATTGCACGTTTTGCCAGCTTGTGTAGTTGCGGTGGGTGAGGGTGTAGGTGTGTTATTATTAGGGCGTGATGTTTGGTTAGTGAGGTGATTTTTGTGAGCACGTCTGTCGGCGAGTAGCAATTCGAGAGATATGGCCATGGAACCAATAACATCGTATAAATCTTCATACGGCAAGTCCACAAATGCAATAATTGACCAAAAATGTAATAAAACCGGCAAATGCTATCCAAACCGTATATACCAGAAAGAACGCCCCCCTCAACAATAAGCGCCGCGCACGCACACCAAATTGTGAAAAAATCGCAAATAGCGAAAAGAAACAGAAACATTTGTAGAATAATGTAGTTTCGAAAAAGCGCGGCGGCGCTTATTGATTTTCGCATTTTAAGATGCCAAGGTGATATGAGGGCCGCGCTCTTTCGATTAAATGCAATAGAATATTGTTTTCGATTTTCGAAAGAGCGCCGCGGTGCTTATTTCTGTCCGACTTAAATTGAGGGCGGTGCTCTTTCCAGTATATACGGTTTGGATAGTATTTGACTGTTCTATTACATTTGTGATCAATTTGTATTACATTTAACTTATTTTAACAATACAAGTAAAACTCGTGAATTAAATGTTTTTGGCAAGGTGCTTCTTTATGTGTTCCTTTACATATCGAGCACAAAAAGATTGCTTTTATCCTGATTTTAACCTGATTCTAAGTCTCATTTTTAAAATTTAAGATGGCGACCATTGTTGGTGACGTCACAGGTCCCCAGGACCGCCACCACCCATAAAGTATACCTCATCTTGTTAAGAAGATGAAAGGCTTTCCACTGATGACAAAATCGTTTCGAAATACTGCAACATATCAAAAACTCTGGGGAAACCCCCGTCGCAAACACTCCAAACCTGGTCAATACTATACGCAATACGTGGGCCGGCTTGTGCTGAAAAATCCGGTTTATTCGAAAATTTTAAGAAACGAAGAGATCGAGATCTGTA